CATTTCTTGGTACTGCCACCACCAGCTTCTTTTCATCAACTGCTTTACAGTCATTCTGGTAATTGCCTGTTACCCATTTCCACACCACCGCATTATTCATTGTTTCCAGCAACTCCACAGACCCCGTTTTTATGCCTATGGATTATACACAGCACATAATGTAATTTCATCTTTGTTTCCACGTGGTTTAATCACAATTTAATTTCAATTCAGGTAACACATTAGGATTTTCCTGGGTTAGACGCAGTTCAGTAGAAGTTGTTTCTCTTTTTCCAGTGTTACATTAAAAACATTCAAATTAAAAACACTGGAATTGAACAAAGAAAGTAAAAGCTTATTTTCATAAAGAAAACAGGGATGAAGAGAGAAATCTCATTTCTTTCTCTTGAGATAAGCATTCCCAATATTTTGCCCAACACAAAACAAAGCCCTTTAGGTTGAAGTAACTTTAGAATGAGGAACTCATGTTATCCTGCCTTCAGTTCAAAACATTTAATGAACTGCTTAAAACATGAATTTCTCAGCATGTATGTAAATTGAGAAAAAAAGAATATATTCTCAGTTATAAATTAGAGCTTTATGAATTTCTCTATGGAAAAACCCCCTTTGCCATCACAATACAAAACGTGTGCTTACTCATTCCAATTCGCTAATGACAAAAGCAACATTGCTTTTAGGAAAGCAAAGCACAAAACATTTCTAAAACGTTGTTATGAAAGAGAAAACCTTTTATTCGAAGCACATCGTTTCGATGGTTTGTAATGTCTCTAAAATGTAGATTATTTCTGACCTCTTCTTGACTTTGAGCTTTAAAACCAATGTAATAGGTTTGATATTTTCTAAGAACCCTGACAGTTCATTTCTGTCATTTCAGCCTCTAAGACAAATTGTTTGTAATATCCATTTTGTTTCATGTTGGTATTTAGTTGTGTTTGAAAATTCCTTCCAAAATCCCCCAAGTCTCACATAAAGAAAACTGAGAAAATGGTTTGAGGTCAGTCTGAGGGTTTTCTGTGGCTCCTTTGAACCCCATCCTGTGGGACACAGAGGTGCATTACCGACCTTCAGATGGAAGGGAAGAGAAAGAACAGTGACAGCATTTTTTGAAAGAGCCTCTGAAAAAAAACCTTTGTATCACATCGCACCAAGTGTCCCACACTTCTGCGTTGGAAATTCATGTGGTTTGACTGAAGGAGTGCTGTCATCTCACAGCAATCTCTATTGGCTTCCCCACACAGCAATGCAGACGCAATGCTTCTAAAGGAGAGGACCACCACATGTGCTGCCCCTAATACAGGGAGGATATGGGGCAGAAAGCTGAGTTTGTATGAGCAGCAGTGGTAACAGAACTGCCAGCAGCACAGCTGGACCCAGGAGTGCCAAGGGCTGTGGCTCATCCCAAACAGGGCTGTACAGTCACCTCCCCAAGGGACACAGTCCCCATGCTCCCTTCTCACAGAAGAAGAATTCAGTGAAGAAAACCAGAAATAGTGCTAAACAAGGAAATAGATGAGGTGCTGCCAGTACCTAGAACCCTGGAATGGGATGGGATTTTTCCCATCTTCGCTACTTTCACATGGAAAGGTTATGGTGTTTGCCATGAACTTCAGCATCCTTCTGACTAAACCACAGACTTCAGAAGTTGTTGCAGAATTTCTGTGCTTTTAAATAAAACACACCATGAGCACAAATGAAACTTGCAAAGCACACATGGTCAGTGGCAGACATCCGCATGGCACTCCCTGCCAGCTCACTGGGACCAGCTCCCCTCACCCCAGGAGAAAGCAGAGGTGCCACCCTCACCACCGCCTGGGTGCTTCTGCTGAGCCTCATGGAACCAGGAAGGGCACAGGGAGCTGTGCTGAGTTCTGGAGCTCAGAGCACAAGCTTTGTTCAAACTGTAGGGTGTTATATGTGGTTGGTAGCGCTGCAAATCCAGATAGAGTAACTACGTGCTTCTCTCTGATCTGAATTCTTTTTGTTTATATAGTATTAGATTTATCTATATTTAAATATTTAGTTTCTGGAAATCATACAGTGTATGATGCCATACATACAGCACACACTCTGAGTTACAAACCCACTGAGTTAAATTACATTTCCCATTTAAAGGAGATATGGATCCACTCTCTCCCAGTTCAACCCTGACAAGGGCTGCCCTTGGAGCCACCCCTGGGCCCTGCCATGGGCTGGAAGGCACAGAGCTGGCACTGAGGCACTCCATGTGTGCGCTGCCCCATGGAGATGGAGCAGATTGGCAAAGTTTTGCCATTTTTTTTTCTGTGGTGCATTTTAGTATGATTTGCAGGTGTCTTTCCCATAAGGAACAAGCT